TGTTTTTAAGGAAGGAATTCTCACACATTAGTTTTCTATGCTTTTCATGTTATATGCATGTGCACATTAATCATGTGGGCATTGCACATGCCAAAACATGGTAACAGTCACATTGGAAGGGATGGTTCAGTAGAATAATTCTCTCCTTCCACGTGAGAAACCCGGGTTCAGTCCCTGCCAATGCCCCACTCACCACTCCGTGGAAGCGTGCACGTTGCTTTGATAAGGTTTCAGAGGAGTATGCCGCTTAAGATGGACGAAGCAGAAAGGACTGGCCATCTGCTTCTGAAAATTAGGCAGCGAAAACTCTGTGGATCACAGTGGTCCAATTTGCAACCTATCATGGGGATGGCACCAGACGGGGAGCAGTCTGTTCCCTTGGGCATGGGGTAGCCGTGAGTCAGGAGCCGCTCTGTGACTAACAACAACGGCCATGGATTTATTCATCCATGCTATCATTGTGTCTCATGGGGCAGATTCATAGCACATCTCCCGCGCAAGACCTCTTTAAAATGTTGAAAAGCAAGGATGTTACTCTGAAGACTGAGGTGCACCTGACCCAAGCCACGATATTCTCTATCTCCTCCTATGCATGTGAACATTGGACACTGAATAAGAGAGACTGAAGAAGAATCTGATGCATTTGAATGTGGTGCTGGAGAAGAATATCCAAAGTACCATGGACTGCCAAGAGGACAAACAGATCTGTCTTGGTGGATAAGCAACCAGAGTGGTTCTTAGAGGCAAGACTGGCAAGACTTTGCCTCACTTACTTTGGACATACTCTCAGGAGAGACCAGTCCCTGGAGAAGATACACTTTAAGACGTCCAAAGTGCTAGGTAAAGTGCAGGGCAGGAGCAGTGATAAAGAAGAAGGCCCTTGCTGAGATGGATTGACCCAGTGGCTGCGGCAGTGGACTCAAACGTCAGAACAATTGTGAGCATGGTGCAGGACTGAGTAGTGCTCCATTCAGTGGGATACAGGCTCCCTACGAGTTCGAACTGGCTTGATGGCACCCAACAACAATGATGATGTAGCCACCGTGTTTTATAACCACTCCGCCACCAGCTATGCCACCATCGTGTTTTATGATAATGTTGTTGTTCGTGGCTATTGAGTCAATTCCAACTTACCGTGATTCTGTGTGCAGAGCAGCACTCTTTCAGGGGGGTTACGAAGCCATGATTCTTCAGAAGCAGATCATCAGGCCTGTCTCATGGTGTGCCTCCGAGTGGGCTTTCAGCACCAACTTTCAACTAGTTGTGAGGGCTTAAGCCATGCAGGGCCTCAACACCTCCTCCAAATCCTTTATATTTACCACAGTGTTCCCCAAGCCCCACACCCCCCGGAGTGAACACATAGCTCTTAAGTACTTGAGACATTCCGTGTATTACTTTTGTAACTTTGGTGCCCAAGAGAAATCTCAAGTTGTGTATACTTCACTGATGTTCTTGGATTGGAAATAGTTGCTTGGTTACTAACTAATAATATTTATGAAGTCCCCCGCCTCCCCACCACCACCTGCAATTACAGCACATATCTCAGATAAAGCACCTAGTGAATGGTCAGCAAATTCTTGTTGGTGATAATACGATGATACCTCGTCCTCACCAGAAACATTGTAAGACTTTGGAATCACAGTCACAGGGTAAAACAAGGCCAGCTGGCATAACGGAGCCTACAACGACAATGCTCTACATCCTGCTTTCGGGAGTATCAACTGAGGTCTTCAAAGCTTTGAAGCAGCGCCCTACTACTGCCCTCTCCCAGATGGAGGAAAAAAGAGTGAAAAAACTAAAGACACGTAGACACAGTCTAAAGGACTAATGTGCCATTTGAACTTCAGTATCCATCACCCTAAGACCAGAAGAACTAGATGGCAACCTCCTACGACTACCACTACCAATTGCCCTAAAGGAGATCATAATAGAGCAGTGGTTCTCAACACTCCTAATGCCGAGACCCATTAATACAGTTCCTCATGTTGTGGTGACCCCCCAACCATAAAATTATTTTCATAACTGTAATTTTGCTACTGTTATGAATCAGGTAACCCCTATGAAGGGGTCCTTCAACCCCCAAAGGAGTCACAACCCACGGGTTGAGAACCGCTGTAATAGAGAGTCCTGGATAGAATAGGAGAAAAAATGTACAACAAAACTCAAAACTATGCAAAAGGCCAGGCTTAATGGTAGGACAGAGATTGATGGAACCCCTAAAACTCTGGAAAAACTCAAGTTTCAGCCAAAAAATAGAGAGGTCTACAAGGTAAACAATAACACTAGTGCGATACGCACTTGTGGTCAAGTGAAATTTCTTAATCTGACTCTTCTAGCCATACTCCCTTTTGTGATGTATTAGATAGTCCATCCTGTACGCCTGTGGTTATAATCCCATTTTAGAGGCGTTCTCTGGTACCCTCGTGGACAGGATTAAGGTGGGGTGTATTCTGAGTCTCCACTGTAGTAGATGGTGTGATTCTAGTCACCACCCTTTGATTCCGTGGGAGTAGAGTCCGCTGAAAGGCAATAACCACATGTCCATCAAAGCCATTCCTCTGTGTCGAAGAGCAATCTCAGAAGCCAACCGAGAGAATTAGAATTCCCAGGACCTTCAAGGAAGAACCCCCAGAGGAGCACGTTCAAGACCCCTGAAGTGGGGGATTAGTAGAAGCCACCACACCAAAAGAAGAGGCCGAGGCAAGAAGGCCACGAGAAAGAGCAGAAGAACAAGGCTGAGACAGGGGTGGGGTGGGGTGGGGTTTCCAGGAAGGCAGGCAGAGGCCAGGAAGGCAGAGAGGCCAAGGACCTATGGCTGAGGGGCTGGGGACCAGAGGCAGAGACTTGGCGGCAGCCTGAGGAGAGTTATTTGCTTTGGACCAATGACGCTATCCTTAACATTTTCTGATCCTGGTGTGTGGTAACCTGTCACGTCCCTAATAAAGCCCCCTCAATCCTGGGCATGGTCTGTGAGTTCTGTCTGGCCATTTCAATGAGTTATTGAACCCAGTAGAGAAGTAAGGTATTGTGGGAAGAAGAATTGATGTCAGCACAGGATAAAGGAGGATGGAGAGCAGAGGCACATCTGACCTCTGTCTCCTGGCAATCAGCCTTGGGCTGGTGGGGAGCTGGATTCTCCTTCTCCCTCGGGTAGTCAGAGGAGATCAGTCCAGTCTCCATGTGGTTAACTCAGCACTCTTCAGGGTAATCTACCATTTGAGACAAGAGCAGTATTTGGCCATAGACAAAATCCAGAAAGTCGGGAGGGATTTAAACTAAAAGGTTTAAATAACGAAAAAAAAGAAGGCAGGGGAGAAAAAAAACAAACCCTTAAAGACAGGGTTTTGAACTAGGTATTTTTTAAACAGCTTCACTTGATGCTTTTGAAGAATAATGAATGGCGAGTGTCCTATCCTGCAGAGGAAAGAAATAAAAACGGAGCCCCAGCTCTCTTTGAGAGAGAGCAGTCTCATCTCCCATCTTCTCCCGCAATGCCAGGCTCATGCGCTCCTGGGGACTGAGGGGTTGCCAGTCCCAATCCCACCAGGGAGGAGGCAAAGGAACAAGCTTAGAGCAGCTTGGGCAGGAGGTTGAGCTTCTTCCACAGGATTGTCTGATTGAATAGGCACAGACCAGTAAGGTGTTTTCAACATTTTCTTCTCATTTTTATCTGTATACGTAGAACGTACTTCATGTCTCGAGCTAAAGCCATCTGGCAAAAGGCCACATAGCGCCAATGAACTAAGACGTAGCTCCAGAAGCAGCCCTGGTGGCAGCCTGCCTAAGTGTTGGTCTGCTCACCGAAGGCCAGCAGTTTGAACCCACCAGCCACTCTCTATTCCGGACGAGGCTCTCAACGCCTGTGAAGAGTTCCGGTCTCTGAAGCTCCCAGGGCAGTTCTGCCCTGTCCCCTAGGGTCGCCAAGGGTCAGATCAATGCAATGGCAGTGCATTTGGTTTGAGTGCCCTCCCTCCCTCCCCTGGGAGAGATCACAGCCATGTAGCCTGACTGGCGAGAATCAATTCCTTGCCTTTCTTTAGAGTTTTACCCCCTAGGGTATAAGGGCAAGTTTTGCTTGTTTTTGAGTTTTATATAAATGGACCTGTACAGTGTACTTCATTTTGTAAAGTGCTTCTTTATCTCAGCACGATGCTTGCGAGATTCTCCCAGGTTGCATGTACTGGCAGTTCATCTGCTTCGGTGGCTGTATTTATCCAGTCTACTGTCAGGCATTTGGGCCCTTCCCTTTTGGTCTATTAAGAACAATGTTAGGTGCTCACTCCGGCTGCACATTGACTACAACTGCAATGATACAGAGAAGATTAGCAGGTCCCCTGAGCAAGGATGGCACACAAATTCATGAAGCGCTCCGCATTTTGTGTTGGGGGGAGGTCTTCGTTCTGTTGTGCCCCAGGTAGCGATGAGCTGGAACCGACTTGATGGGAGGGAACAGCAGCGACACCAAAGAGAATGAGGTGGCCATGCACACATCTCCTGGAGCAAACGCGCCATCGTGTCTCTAGGATATGTGGTGCACGTGGTTGTTTCTGAGTGCCATCAGGTGGGCTCCAGCGTAGAGACCTGGGCATTACAGAATGAAATGGTGCCTGCTGCTGTGCCGTCCTCAGGAGCCCTGGGGTGCTGGGGGTTCCACATTGGACTGCTAACCCCAAGAGCAGCAATTCAAAACCACCAGCTCCCCGAAGGACAAAGAGAAGGCTGTCTAGTCCCACAATGCTTTGCAGCATTGGAAACTCCAGGGGGCGTTCGACCCTGTCCTGTTGGCTGCGAGCAGTAGGAACGGACTGGGTGGCAGTGAGTGCTGGGTCCCTGTGCCATTGCCACGGTCATGGTTAAATTTGAGCCTCGGGTTGCAGGCACCGGATCTGTCCATCTCGTTCAGGAGCTCTCTCTTTTCCACTGAACTTTGTTCTTAGGGATTGGTTTCTCTGGAGGATGTGTCCAAAGTGAAGGACACAAAGTGTTGCCACCACTGCTTTCAAGGCGCGTTCTGGTTGTACTTCCTCTAGAACAAATCTGTTTGCACTTCTTGGGGCAGTCCAAGGTCATGCGCCATTCTCCACCAACCCCCCCATTTGGATGTGACCATTCTTCTTTGGTCTTCCTCTCTCCTGTCCAGCTTTCACATGCATTTGAGGCAACCGAAAGGTCTTGGTTTGGGTCAGGTGCGCCTTAGTCACCAAAGTGACGTCTTTGCTTTTGAACACTTTGAAGAGAATGTTGCCCCAGATCTTCCGGATGCAGTATGTCATTTGGCTTCTTATTGTTGCTTCCATGGGCGCTGCTGGTCGACCCAGGGGTACAATGCTGCTGTGACATTGTCCTCGCCACACAATGATTCAGCACTGGGCTGATTACGGCAAGGTCAGTGGTTCCAATCCACCAATCCTGAAAGGATGACATCCTTGGAAGCGCTGTGAGGCCCTTCCACTCTGTCACTGGAGTTACTCTCAGTCTGACTCCCCTCTAGAGGCCACAGACATGGTATGTTCAATTGTACAAGGTTGGGCAGAACTCTTTCCAAAGGGTTTAGACTAGTGCCTGCTTTCACTGGTCCCTGCCTTCATGGATGCACCAAAGGTTGGCTTCATAGTAGGGAAAAATTAGAAGCAACCTTAGAATCTGCCATTGGGAAGCTGAGTAAATAAATCATGACCCAGCCATAGAGTGAATTAGGGTCACTGTGAGTTGGAATCAATTAGACAGCACCTAACAGCAACAACAACAACAACAAAGATGAGCTACGATCAGTCACTCTTCTAAGTGCTCTACTTGTGCGCATTGCCTGATGTAATCCTTATCACAGCTCCAGGAGGTAGATAGTATTATTCTACCCAAGTTGCAGATGAAGAAACTGAGACCCACAGAGGTTAAATTACCTCCTGAGTTACACACAGCTGATAAATAAGGGAGCCAGGATTCATGTCCAGGCAAGCTCTGTGACAAGTGGTCTGGCACAGCCTTTACAAGTTAGAAATAGAGATAACGTGATCCAGCAGTCCCACTCCTGGGATTAAGAGTCATGACATGGACCAATATGTGCACGCCCATGCCTATAGCAGCACTATTGGAATAGCAGAGATGGGAACAGACGAAGTGCTCACCTGGTAGTGAACGGATATGAAACTGTAGCCCATACACCAGGGGGCACTTCACATGCTTAACAATGATGATGAATCTGCAGAATATCTCACAACATGGATGAGCCTAGAGCAGCGGTTCTTAACCTGTGGGTGGCGACCCCTTTGGGGGTCAAACGACTCTTTCACAGGGTCGCCTGATTCATAACAGTCGCAAAATTACAGTTTATAAGTAGCAACAAAAATAAGTTTATGACTGGGGGGGGTCACCACAACCTGAGGAACTGTCTTAAAGGGTTACGGCATTAGGAAGGTTGAGATCCACTGGCCTAGAGGATCTGATGCTGAGTGAAATAAGACAATCACACAGGGAAAGTATTCTATGAGACTATCCAAGTAAAACAGTATTTTAAATGTTTACACACAGAAAGAAATGTGCTCTGATCATTACCAGGGATGAGAGAGGGAAGGAAGGAAAATCACTCAGTGGATAGATGGGTAGACACCCCCATTTCTCTGTCACTTTGTCGAGCTGTGGTGATTTGTGTACTGCTGTGATGCTGGGAGCTATGTCTCTGGTCTTTCAGACGCCAGGAGGCTCACCCACAGTGAACAAGTTTCAGCAGAACTTCCAGACTAAGAAGAGACTATGAAGAAGGAACAGGCTGAACGCTTCTGAGGAGCTAGTCACAGAAGACCTATGGACAGGACCGAAACATTGTCACAGACTGCAAACCCCATGAAAAGAAGCAGAACATTGCCAGAGATGAGTCCCTCAGGTCCCTCAAAATACGACCGAGGAAGAACTGCCTTCTGACAGGAGAGCCGACCATCATGCTGGGACACATGCAGCATGCGAAGAAAGAGCAGCAGGGCAGCACACAGGAGGAAGACCTTCACCAAGAGGGACTGACACAGTAACTGCTACACAGTAACTACTCCAACATAGGAGCAATGTGAGGATGACACAGGACCGGGCAGTGTTTGTCGCTGTGAGTCAGAACCAACTGGTCAGCACCTAACAATGACGACAAAGGGTACTAGCCAAGAGTTACTTCTGGTGAAAGGAAAGGTAATGTACAATAAGGGGGAGGTCACAGGCAAAGGAAGACACTGGGGGGGAAGCAACAATAGTAAATACTATGATACACACAATCCTGCAATAGCTGTAATAACGAAGCACAATTCACAAGAGGATATACTGGGAGATACGTAAGCTGAGCAGGTGTGAGGCGACAAATGGGAGGATACCAGGAGCTTATGCAGCCTTGGCAGCGGATATTTCTACACCTGCATTTGTTGTTACTCTTGTGGTGAAGTGCCTTTGCGTCGGTTCCAGCACCTAGTGACCCCACGTACAGAAGAGGAAAGCCATGTTTGGTCCTGTGCCTTCCTCACCATTGTTACCTTTGAGCCCATTGTTGCAGCCACAGCTGTCAACCCATCTTATTGAGTCATCTCGTTATTGCTGACCCCGGGTTTCACAAACCATGATGCCCAGTTGTAGGAACAGGTCTCTCCTGATAACACGTCCAAATTATGTGAGGCAGTCTCCCGGCCTGGCTTCCATGGAGCAATCTGCTCTGGGTACACTTCTTCCAAGACAGGTTTGTTTGTTCTTTTGGAAGTCCCCGGCATTTTCAATAGTCTTCCCCCAAATCATAATGCAAATGTATCGTTCTTCAGTTTTCCCTCCTCGCCGTCCATATCTCACGCGCAGATGGGACCACTGAACGTGCCATAGCGTGGGTCGGCGGTGCCTTGGTCTTCCGACTGACGTCTTTGTCCCGGAGACTCTGGAGAGAACTTTCACGCAATGTGCCACATTATTTAATTTTTATGTAAAATGAAATCCTTGAAGACTTTCGTCTTTTCTCCGTTTCTCATGATGTTGCGCATTGATCCAGTTGTGAGGAGTTTTGCTTGCTCTATATTGAGGAGTAATCCCTGCTGGAGGCTCTGTGCCTTAACCATCACCAGGAAGTGCTCAAGTCCCCGTCCTTTTCAGCCAGCAGGGTTGTGCAGCTGCATATAAAAGGCTGTTGAGAATGATGATACATGCGATAATTAGTGTGGTCTTAGCATAAGAATATACTTAGCAAAGCACCTCCAGGCATGAAGGGCCTTGGAGAGCATTAGGATGTGTGGCAGTTACAAAATCTCCTGTCAACTGGAGCAAAGGGGTGGAGTCTAGCCTGCTAATCAGGTCATAGCCAATAAGGCCTCCATGTGGGCATGGCCTTCTCCTGAGAATTCTGGGAACTCCTGTCTTCCTCCCTGGAAGTGGGACATACTCTCGTTCTGTTTCACCTTCCTGCTGACAAGTGAGATGGAGCTGTGTTGATGGAGCCAGAGTCCTGGAGCTGGAAAGAGCCACAGGGAGAACCACACCAGTGCTGAAATGCTTCCACATCCACTGGATCCACAAGACTTTCCACCCATTGGCCTGTGGTCTTCCTGCATTCGGCGTCATTGCATGTGTTGCGTGAGTCTGAAGAGGAATTTATAGGCTGGTATCGGACATATGGGCTAATATCGGACTTAAGAACCTGATCTGCACTGGGCTGGGATGTTTTCTCAATATACAATTGCTCCTTTATATAAAGCTCTTTCTTATACACAAAGGAGTGTCTATGAATTTGTTTCTCTAGGCAACCCAGACTAACACATTATGGTTCCTTGGGAGTGGGGTTCTAGAGAAATAAAGTTGGAGAGTAGATGCTTGTTTGACCTCTGTCTTATGGAACGAACATGAGTAGTTAAAGTTTGATTCTTTTCCTTGGTTATTGTCTTTGGTTATTCCTGTTTGAAATGGCAAAAATGAATCTGATAAATTTTGAACTCAGGGGATGGAATCTCCCCTGGAACTTCTCTGAGACCATACTGCTTAGTCAAAATGGCTGACAGAAGGCCTGGCCCGGCTTGCGGTAAAGCAGCCATATTTCATATCAATAGAATAGTTTAGGTAAGGATTAAGATAAGATAAAGATTGAACTTGACTGTTTTTAAGAATTGAGTTTAGGATCTGGCTGTACCAGGTTTATACTCTTTTCTTTCTTTCCTGTTTATTGTTATTGATATAATGACTGATAGAATCTTGAAATGGGTGTAGGGCATGCCTGCAAAGAAGGCTCTGAAAAGCTAAGCCTCACCCAATGTCATGAGTGCCCAGAACATTCTAAGGTGAAGAGACTTTCCTAGGGGGATGTTGACAGATTGAAGAAAAAGAGGAATCCTTTGATTTTTGAGAAGCTGGAAAAATTTGGAGCCAAGAAAGA